TGCATCAAAGCCTTCGCCCCCGTGGTCCCTGTTGCTGGGGCTTTAGGGCTTGGTGTGTTTTCCTGGCCAGACGCAAAGAAGTCGCTTCCTATTAAGACTGAACTCCCTGAAATAGTCTAGACCTGGGGGGTGGGGGGCTAGAAGGCAGGATGGTGCACACCTGGCCCTGGACCCCTCCCCGGCCATTCCTGCCCTCCACCCCCAGTGGCAGGGGCTGTCTGTGGGGAGGACTGGCGTACGGAATGACCATGGGGTCAGCCCCACAACCTAAGGAGCTGCCTGCAGGGCTCCCACCTTAACCTCCCAGCACCTGCCGGCCCTGCCCTGGAGCCCAGGGGAGCGGGGGCTGCCATTCAACACGTTGCCGATCGGTTCATTACTGCCCACCTAGGAACCCACGCTGGCTTCACTAATTTGGCCTCCCCACCAGCCGGCTCACTACTGCAAACAGACACGGCACTCGGTAATTGGATCGGCGGGAGGGCGTGTTTTCAGGGATTCGGGGGATCATAAAGGAAATCAGGACTGCGGGAGGCTCTGCGGTGACACTGGACTGCGGGGCGTGGGGTAGGTGGCCCCCGCCCTGCGCTCCCTCCACGCCCCGGCCTCCCCATGGTGCCTCAGCCTCCCTCCCCCACCCACAGGAGACAGTCCCGAGGGTGAAAGGAGTCCGGAAGGAAAGGACTGGAGCTATGGCGCTGGGTCTCCGCAGCAGCCGGGGGCCTGAGGAGGCTGCTTTTCTGGGCCTCAGTTTCCCCATCTGTAATCAAAGGCCAAAGGGGCACTTGTGACCACGATGACCCCCTTGCTAGCTTCCCCTGAGCTCATTCCCCTTCGCCTCCAGAGAGCACCGGGTCCTCACTGCAGCAGCCTGGGGGGTAAGGGCTTTATCAAGGGCCCCCGACAGTGAGACAAGTGAGCACAGGAGCCAGGATTAGGATTCCTCTCAGGAGGGGGGGAAAGCTGCACCCCACCTCCTTCTTCCTCACCATGTGCCACAGTTCAGTCTCATTCAAACGCATTTACTACAAAAGAAAAAATCAAATGAACAAAAAAGACAGAAACAGGACTAATGAAAAAAGACAAAAGACAAAAAATTTAAAAAGTAAAAAAAAACAAAAAAAACCACCTCACACCAAAAAAAAAAAAGAAGAAGAAGAAGAAGAAAAAGAAAAAAAAAGCAGCATTTACTGAGCACCGGGCCTTCACCCCTCTGGCTGGGCACAGGACACAGAGGCACAAGCCCTGCCCAGCAGAGTACCCCAGGCTGTTGGCCACGAGGGCTGGGGAGCCCAGGAGACCTGGCACCAGGCTCTGCTGCACCCACCCAACAAGCATCTTGTGTACCCCCAAACGTGCCCCATCGCCAGCCTCCTGTCTCGGGTGGCAGCAGCTCCGTCAAGACAGACACCCGGTGTTGCCCTGACAACAGTGCCTTGATGGCCCCTCGACAGCCGGTCCCCCACCCCACCCCACTGGGTCTTCTCCTTCGCCAGGGGAACGATGTCACCTGCCCAGTGGCTGGGGGAAAAGGGCCTGGGCAAAACGCAGCCATTTGAGAGAGGGGCAGGCAGTTCACAGCCAGAACTAGCCCAGACACCATTAACCATCTACCAAGCTCCATGTTAATGATTTAATCCTCAAAACACTTTCTAAGGTAGATGAGATTATTACTATCCCCATTTTACAGATGCAGAAACTGAGGATCAGAGAGGTTCAGAAATGTGTCCAAGGCCACACCTGTAAGTGTCAGAAGCGGGATTCAAACACAGGTGACTCTGCTTTCTTAATCACAGATTTCATCAGAGAGCCTTTCCACAACTGGGGACTCAGGTGGGCTGTGGGGACAGGAGACTTTGAAGAGCAGGGCAGAAGAAGGTAAGAGAGAAGAGTCCATGGCTAGGGTCCCTTTGTGAATGCCTTGGCTCCCAAAGGAAGAATCAAAGTAAGGCAGACATTCACACCTTAGTGAGAATTAGTTCATAAACCTTCTTCCATGAGGATCACGTTTAGAAATGGGGCAGAGAATGCCTTGGCTTGTATGGCTCAGTTGGTTGGGCATCGTCCTGTGCACCAAATTTGGTTCCCGGTGAGGGCACATGTCCAGGTTGCAGGCTCAATTCCTGGTGGGGGGGCACACAGGAGGCAAGCCATCAATGTATCACTCTCATATTGATGCTTCTCTCTTCCTCTCCCTTCCTCTTGCAAAAAAAACCCCCACAAAAAACAAAAACACAAAACAAAAAACAACAACAACCCACAAACTTAAAAAAAAATGGGGCAGAGAGCCTTGAAGGACCACACAGGGAGGGACTGGGCCTGCTGAGGATAGAGTGGAGGAGATAAGAGGTGGAGAGTTGAAGCCAAATCCCTCCACTGGAGGCTCTCCCAGCTCTCAGGGACTCTCAGTGGTTGATTAAAAAAAACACACAACCCACTACTCACTGAGGGCCAAGGGCCAAGGGAGGGGGCGGGGGCACAAGTGCTCCCCACATTCCCCTTTGTGTGGGGCAGGGTGGGTAGTATCCCTCTTGGGCATCATGAGGAGAGGGGAAAAGCTGTATCCCACCTCCTTCTTCCTCTCCATTTGCCACAGTTCAGTTTCATTCAAAAGCATTTACTACAAAAGAATCAAATGAAAAACAAAAATACAAAACCACACACACACACAAAACAAAACAAAACAAAACACAGAAACAGAGCTAATGGGGAAGAAAAAAAGAACAAAAAATTTTTTTTCTTAAAAAAAAAAAAATCCTCACGGAAAAAAAAAAAAAAAAGAATTCCCGAGCACCTACTATCGGCCAGTTCTAAGCACTGGCGATCCGTGGTCTGGTGTTCTGAGGGAGACAGATAATAAAGAAGATAAATAAATGGGGTGCGGCCGGAAAGGGGGCCGCCCCCTCGCCATTTGCAGATGACCTGCTTCTGGGTTGGGGCTTGGCACCTGGCAGAGCAGCTCCCGCACTGCGATCTATTGAAAGTCAGTCCTCAACACAAGGGTTGGTAAAAAGAAAAAAAAAAAAAAAAAGAGGGAAAAAGAAAAAAAAAAGAAGTAAATAATTCATGCGTCCACTGGGGATCAGTGTGTCAGGGAAAATCAAAGCAGGGAAGGAGGAGGTGGGGGAGGTGGTTACAGTTGTGAACAGAGTGAGTGGTCGGAGAGCTCCCTCCATGACACTGAGAAAGATGTGAATAGAGAGGAGCAGGAGACATGTGAGTCTGTGGGGAAGAACTTTCAGGCAGAAGGGAACAGCGCCAGACAAGGCCCTGGGGCAGGAGCCGGTCGGGTGGATGTGTTTGAGGGACAGCAAGGAGGCCTGGTGGCTAGAGGGACAAGTCTGGGAGATGAGGTCAGTGTGGTTTTTCAGTGTAAGATGACCTGGTAACCGACTGCCTCTATCTCTAGGACATCAGCCGGCGTTCCCCATAGTACCTCCAGCAAGGAGAACAGCATCTGGCCTGGGCAGGACCACAACAAATATCAGTCAGATGAATCAAAGAGTATGGGCAGGAACTTAGTGTTCATGTGCAAAAAAAAAAAGAAAGAAAAGAAAGAAGAAAGAAAGAAAAAAGAAAAGAAAAAGAAAGAAAAAAAAGAGGGTGGAGAAAAGAAAAAAGAAAAAAAAAGGAGCCCAGTCTCAAACTATACACAAAAAGATCAATGTCAATACGTAGGTTGCGGGTTTGATCCCGGGTCTGGGTGCATACGGGAGGCAGTGGATCGATGTTTTTTTTCTCTCTCTACCCTTTCCTCTTTCTCTAAAATCAATGAACATATCCTTGGGCGAGGAGGGAAAAAAAGTAAACGCCTAAAACATTCAACAGAAGTAAAAATAACTTCTGTTCATCAGAGGACCATTTCAAGAGTGAGAAGCAAGCACACAGCAGGAGGTGCATTTGGCAGACGTGTAATTGACAAGGACCCGCTGAAGAACTCCTGCAGAACAACAGGACAACCTGATGGGAACAACTGCAGACCCCACCCAAGGGGAAACCCAAACAGGCAGCAACCCAGGGAAGCGCATCTCCCGCCGCCGCCAACAAGCGGGTCCAAGCCCACACCTGGCAGTGCCAAGTGCTGGGAGGCTGTGGAGACCCAGGAACTCCAAGTACTGCTGAGAGGGGGACAGGCAGCAGCACCCAGGAGAGTGTGGCCTTATCTTCTAAAGATGCCCTGTGCCCCCACAGGTCTGCTCTGGGGTACACCCCAGATCTGTGTTCCCCAGATCACCTGGACGGAGAGCTTCATTCTCAATGGTGCGGGGTTGGAAGCTGCCCAGACATCCATCAATGAATAAACACAATGAAATAACTCCATTCACACATGCCGTCCCCCAGGACAGAGACATCCATCAATGAATAAACACAATGAAATAACTCCACTCCCATCAGTAGAAGGCTCCCCGCACCAAGGACTCTTGCAAACAAGACATTTTGGTGAAAAAGTGCCTGAATGCCCTGGTTGAAAGACTCCACATCCGTGAGGTTCCAGTCCAGCCTAGGGAAACTTTGTGGGGTAGGTTGACTCTCCTAGGTGGCCGAACCGGGAAGAAAACAGGACCGCATGTCATGGGAGTCAGGGCGCCTGAGACCTCAGGGGAGCTGGACCGGGTGTGATTAGGGCAGGGTCTGGGGGGCTGGCAGCGTTCAACTTCACCCGGGTGGTGATCACCCTAAACTTCACAGGTCTTGATGACTTTTTCTGCATGCTTATTACAGTTCACAACTTCGGAAAAATTCTATTTGGGGGGGCAGGGGAGGACTCATGCCGGGCATAGTTCTGGGTCTCCGAACACCTTCTGAGTCCCAGGCGCCATGCGAGGCGACTGACCGGCTTTCCTCCATGACAGAGGAGGGGACTGAAGCCTACACAGAGGAAGGAGCGTGCCCTTAGGGCACGGAGCAGACAGAGTGGCCACGGCGGGGGGTGAGGGCAGAGGGACCCGGTGCAGAGGAAGGCAGAGGAGGGGATTAACTTGGGGATTAGAGGCGCAGCTGGCGGCTGGGACTTGCTAGTATCTGCAAATACAGGCGTGGCGCTGGAGGAGTGTTCCCAGCAGCCGGAGGGAGGGTAGCTGAGGGAGGGAGGGAGGGGCAGGGAGCGCGCAAGAGGCTAGAGCAGCCGTCGCCCGCGGACCACTCTCGCGGGTCCGTGAGGCGCGAAAAGGTTGGCGACCGCTGCGCTAGAGCACAGGTGGCCAGACCTGGAGGAGCCCTACTGTGTGCTAGCCCTTGCAAGGTGCTGGGGCTGGAGAAATTAAAGAGTCAGACCCAGCCCGTGATTGCAATGGGGCGGGCAGAGGACACTCCAGGTGGCACGGGGAGCCCCGGGGACCGCCACTCCCCGCCCTCACCTGTCTCCCCGAACACATCCTGCTTCCTCAGGGCCCCAGGTCTTTGCACCTCTTGGAAGGCCCATCCTGTCTGTCCTTGCAAACTCCTATTCTTCCTTCAATTCTGGGCTCAAGTGTCCTGGCTGCCAGGAAGCCCACCTTGATTCACCGGGCCAGTGTCCCCAGCCTGGGACCCCTGGGAGGATTTGTGGATGAGACTGTGTCCCTGCTGTGAAAGGCTGACCTGGGTCTTGCTGTGTCTCAAGGGGGAACTTGGTACACAGAGAGGGAATGAGCCCACCTGGGGGTGAGGGGCCAGGGGATCACAAAAGTCACAGAGAAAAGGTGAGAGGGAGGACAAATAGTTTGTCCCATGGACGAGAAGGCAGGTAGGAGGTCATTCTGGGCAGAGGGAATGGCAGGAGCAAAGGCGGAGAGAGCTGCGTGAGGTGGCAGCTTGTTTGGGGCTCAGAAGGGGGACTCCAGTATGGGGTGGGGAGCGGCAGTGGGGGATCTGGGCTGAGGGGCTGGGGCAGGAGAGCGCCGCTGTATATCTGCCCACACAGGGAGTTGCCCAGGGTCCCAATGGCACAGCCCTTTTGCTCATTCAGATAGTATTTAACTGGACCCTGGCAGGAGCAGGGCTGGGG